GATCATCGTTGACCATGTCCACGCCATTGAAGAGATTCTGCTTGAACTCATCAATGTTGGAGCTCTCGGGAAGGCGGCCAGAGAAGCCAGTTATGGCGACCTCATCGTTCAGCACGGGCTGTCGCGGCACATAGTGTCCGCCACCCAGGTCCAATTGGGGAGCGGCACGCGTGGCGGGCTCGGCGGTGATTACTTCTTCGGCAAAACGGGCTGGCATCTTGGGGCTGTTACTATTGCTGTCGTTGTCCTTGTTCTGGTTATGATCCTGGTTCTGGTTATGGTTGTGCGTGTGCGAGTGCGAGTGGGAGGTGGAGGTGCTCGGTGTTATCTGCGTGTCGTCTGGCTCCTTAAAGGCGTCAGGTTGATGGGAATTCTGCTGCTGCTTGTTGCGACGACGGCGACGGCGATTGGCTCGGGCACTTTTGCCGTTATTTTGGCCACTGGGAGAATGATGCTGCTGGTTTTGATGATTGCTCTTAACGGCAACAGGATGCTGCTGGTCCACGGCTTGCAACAGGTTTGAGTGTGGCGTCTGAAAATACGAGTATATATGAGCAAATGAGGCGATAGGTCTTTGGTAAACTAATGCCATTTTAATCTCAGAAAAAATGTCTACAAAACTGAGGAAATCAAGAGCTACTTGTTCAAGTATGTAAATCTATTTGGCGTGCATAGAAAGTCTCTTTGCCGCCGGCTTAGCTTATGGAGTATGGGACGCCCTAAGAGTGAATTTTTGAAGGCTCAATTCAATACTTCAATCATTACATTCCCTTCAAAATTTGATTTCACGAAAAATGCATAGCATACCACAAGGTGCAACTGTTTAATACAATATCAACCCTTTGATTGGTAGAGTAGGGGTTTAAATGGTATTTTTTGACTTCGAAGAACTCGAAATATTTATTTATTGTCAATTTTTAAATGTCTAACAAAAAGCCTGCTGAGTCATGCTGTTTTTTATTTCTCTTAACATTTATTCAATTTTCCACAAAAACTGGCGGCAGAACTGTGGTGCCTACATAACAGGGCAGAGCTGTTAAGTTTTTGCAGCCGCTGTTAAAGCTCTTTGGCGTTTCGATGGAAAGCTTTGGACAGCTGAGAGCTCGCTCTCGCTCTCCCCGAAGCTAACGCAGAAGCAGCCGCCGACGCAAGCCGTTGTACCGGTACCGGTGTCTGTCGCTGCCAGACAGACGGGCAGCAGCAGACTCTGGGCAGCAAGCAGGCAGGCAAGCAGTGGAAAGTTAGTATAGACATTACAAATCAGGTGATTTCTGGAGGAGCTTTTGACGCGCATGTGGCTGGCCGGGCTGCATGTTTGTTATGGGCGGCTTTCTAGTGTTGTGGCGTGATGATGCGATGCCGCAGCCTAACAGCAGCTGCCAGGGGCAACTTGTGGCAGTAACAGTAACAGTGCAACATGCTTTGCGTTAACATAGGCACAGCTCCCTCTGCCTCTCTCTACGCTCTTCATATTTCTCACGCAATCAATCCCCCTAAGCACAATACAAACACAAGCTGCTTTCTCATTCGCCGAGAAACTCGTACGATGTGCAGAAGAATGATTCAACAAAAGGGAAAGAAGTAAGTGACGAAGGCAGTTCTGTTGGCGGTCGGTCGGTCTCCCCCAGAGCGTCGCTAGAAGAAGAGGAAGAACAAGAAACAGCGGACGCCCGAAAATGCTATGTTGCTGCCGGCAAACGATGGCAAATCGGCACACTCACCTCTTTGTAGGTAGGTAGTGTGATAGTGAGCGAGCGAGAGAGAGAGCTTATCGTTTTTTCTGCTCATCTAAAGCATTTCGATGCTATGTTTATGTTTATACCCCTGCATCAGGTATTACGATTTTTACTAGAGGTCTGCAACACTTAGAAGATGGCATCTTCTTAGTAAGGAACAGTACAACATATGGGATAGCGCGCAGTCGTAATATATTTATATCAAGCGAAGGTATTAAAGTGTAGATAACAAATACAATTACATATCATCAAAATCGAATGACTGCCATGGAAAAGGGTATCAAAGGCTACGGTAGTCGAAGTTAATTTCTTGTTGCCATAGTAATTGTATGTCAGAGCGAAATTTTGCATGCCAACCGGCACACATATACACACACACATGAGCTGGACGCGTGTACCATTTGTTTAGTGAGATAAGGTGGCGTGATTTCTCAAGTTCATTCAAGTATTACTTTCATAGTTTTTGTGGCTGGTCTGTTCCCCGATTTGTTTGCTTTGTTTTAGCTGTGCCTGCTACAATCCAACATCCTCTATAGATCCTTTTACTTTTATTGCCAGCGTTCTCTTCCGTATTGATTTCTCCGGTATTCATCAGACTCCACTATCTCTGTGTTCGTGTATGTATATGTGTGTGTGTGGGTGTCACCCATCATCAGGCCATACTGCTAAAAATTGCGTCATTAGATAAGCAAACATGTAAACAAACCACCCCTCCTCAGTGTCCCTTCCCTAGAATCGGGGTAGGGGTCTTGGGCACTCTATATTGTTTATTTATGCACTCGGTTCTATTTTCACAGTTATCGATTTTGGCCAGGGTGGGGCAAGGCAGAGACTCAAGTGCACGTGTACTGGAACCTCTATACACCCTATATCCAGCACCCAGCACCCATCTATCCATCTACATATAATTAGCCCTCATTCTCATCTCACCCACTAAAACTTTTGGGGTGGAGACGATGTCGCTGATGATGTCTCAAGTTTATGCACATCAGCGATAACTGATAACTGGGAGGTGGGCCATGGGGTGATTCCGAACCGAGCTGATAAGGCGGTGTGGCGCTGCCTACTCATACGAGTCTGCACCTGATCGGAACTGTTGGACCGACGCCAAACGCGTGTAGAACAGGAAGCTTATGAATACAGCTGATAAAGATAAGACACTTGAAATTTTCCAATCATCCAATTTGCTTTTGTTTTGATACCCTTGCAGACGGGTTGTATGATGTTCTGCATATTGTTATGTTTTATTATATAGTTTTGATATAGAATTGGGATTTATTTATGTGACTTTGCAAGTTATAGTTTCCGGAATTTTAATTGATTATTCAAATCGAAATTATTTATCTTGTAATAGGAATTGAAGAACAACAAAGGGTATCTAAAGCTTCGTTCGCAAAAAACTGGCCATTCTTTCTGTTTTATGTCTTATTTAGCTTGATTGTCTAATAGTTTTCATGGGAAATCTTACAAATCCAAGTTTTGTTGCTTCTCCCGGCTGCAATTAGAAGGCGAAACCCTATCGAGAAGCCAATAAACTTTCATAGGACGCCTTTCTTTGCCATGTATATATCTCTCTGTCAATTAGCAACTGTAATTTTTTGTAGCAGCGTTGTGGAATGTTGTGGTCTGGGGGGTACATTCAGTGAGGGGGCGTTTAGAATAACACTTTGGGCACTGTTTGGCCCAAAGCCTAAAGGTCCTAAAGGTCAAAACGTTGCATGCCAAGTGCGAATCGAGCAAACGGGAAATGTTCTCCAATTTAGTAATTTGTATTTTTAGCCGGGGGCTAGGCTAGTAAATACATTGGAAAATATCAGTTCGAAAGTTTTACAAAAACAGTTTCTGCGGCAAAGTCTAGAGCGTAGATAATGGAGTTTCTCTTGCATCTCTAGCTGATTCTAGTATCTATCATTTGGAGTAGAACAAAAAAGAGATGTTCTCACGAATCCATAGTTTAGGGTGAACCTAAATCTAATTTTAAGTAACTTAAACGCTTTTTCCTTATTATTTCATCACTAAATTCGAGTTTTTGAACGTTTCATTTCCTATTAATCGTACGAATTTTTATTTGCACTCGTTCCCACGCACACACACACACACACACAAGCACATTTGACGGGAGTCCAATTTTATTCCTGCGGCTGCCATTTTATTTTTTGTACATACCTAAAAATCAGGCGATTCCTCTTGACAGCTGTTTTTCTGGCTAAAGGCTCTGGAGCAGTGGGTAGGCTTTTGGGCTTCTTGGTGCAGTTGGTCCTGACTGACTTTCGAAACCGTTAGCTACGCTACTTTTGCAATTAACCAATACAAAAACACAGCACTTTTCCTTTTGCTATTGTTCTCTTTCCGTTCAGTTGGCGGTTACCGTTAGCGTTTTTTGCAAATAATTTTGCTACACTCTTCGTTTTGCACTGTGGCTGGGGCCGTGTAATGGAGGCGAAAGACACACTGTGTTTGAAGCGTAGCGGTTAATAAAGCACGACACAACTAACTGTGTTCTGTCGGTTTCGTTCACGACTGGCAGCGAAAAAATAAACGGGAATAGTCCAGGCATCAGGTGCGCGACGTCTTTTATATGAGGCGAGGCGAGAGCTTTTCTGCTCGCATCGCCATCCAGAGAAGAGAGCAGCAGAAGCAGCGCGAAGATAAGCTCTGCTTTTGTGCTCTCTCTGGGGTTAACCTTTCGGAGTGTGTAGGGCCACTGCTGTGCTCTGTTGTTGCTCTGTAAAATGATTTGCGTGCTTTTGGTTAAGTTTGTGCAGCATTTAATTTCGAAATTAACAGCGATAAGTGTCTCCTCCGGTCGGTCAGCTGTTGCCTGCGTGATAAAGATGTACAAATTTTGATTTGTCCCGCCATAGGACAGCAATCGGACCACTTTTTTGTTGCTACTAAATACAAAATACACTCTCACATACATGCAGTAGTAAGTACACACACACACACACACACACACACAAACTCTCTCTTATACCTACCATACAAATATGTATAAGTATGTACAGGGGCAGACATAGCGCGACTGTTAATCGTCTGGGCAGATTTTTTTTGTAGATAGAACAGAACCTAAAATGTTCGAGTAGTAAATAGGAATTGGAATTATTATCAATTATGGAAAGGTACATTGAATTTTGTTTAACGGGTCATATAAAGGCCGCCGCCGCTGCTGCTGCTGCCGCCGGACTATCGTGATTCATCGTAAATCATGCGAGCGCCACGATCCCAGTCGCGTGTCCAAAAACCAAACCAAACAAAATCGCATTAGTAGGAGTACTTATACAATCCGGGAGATTGCTACGTGTATTATTGGTATATAACGATACATTAACAGCTACAGAGTAAATCATGATGCTATCAACTAGAGCCGCTTCCTCAGCACACGTTCGAGGATCTGTAACGTCTGCGCCTCCTTGAGGAACGTCCTGTGTGTGCCCTCCACCACATGCATATCGATCTGGGCGCTGCAAATCTGTAAATCGCAGAAATTTAGGGATTTCTTCTAGAAAATGTACAGCTTTATCGATTCTTACCTCCTTGAGCCCATAGTCCTGGGCCATTATGGCATTGTGCTCGGCGGATTTGATCAGGACCACGTCGCTGTGCAGTTGTTTGGCTCCCTTGTAGCTCTCCGAGAGCAAAAGCTTCTGTTTGAACATGCAGGCAGCTTTCTTGATCTGTTCGATAGAATAAATATGGGATCGAAATGGCTAATTATCGACTTAGAGTACAGAAATGACGAAAGTTATCTTGGGATTAAAGATATTTCGATTTTAAATCTTAGGCTATGAGATCGGAATATGCTGTATGCTGTTTTCACTACAAATATTTATCGTATTTACAATCTACAAAAATCATTCTTATCTACAATTAAAGGAGGCTCTGGCACTTACATATTACACATTTTTTACACATTATTTGAAATACGTGCAAGCCCAAAAGTGTTTAATCCAAACACAAACAAACACTTGAGGAGTCGCTGCCTATAAAAACAAATATTTACGCAAATACTTGAGATTCTGTACTCAAAAACTCTGTCTGATACTAGGAACTTTTGAAGATGTCTATGTACAAATAATGAATGAATAACGAAAGAGTTCGAAGAGACTATGAGCAATCCAAAATCAAATATAATCAAAGCTAAATCAATGCAATCAAAATGTAGTGTCTTCACAACAAGTGAGCTAATAAATGGGAAAGATCATTGTTCCATTATTGAGGGCTAATCTTACTGATAAAGATTGATTTTCGATTTGATTCGCATCGAAGGATGCTAGTAATAATGTTAAGAAGACTATTGAAATATAGCATAATTCTATATTATGACCCTGACTTGTTGAGCCGCTTAGCAGTGAGCAGTGAAATGTTACTCGAATAAATCTATTCCTTGCATGAACCTATTAGGGTCTTATTCTCGGATTGTATACACTTCTTACCACTTCTTTGGTTTGTTGCGTGTGTCCGGACAGTGTATCGGCCAACTTGTCCAGCTTCGATGGCCACGTCTTGACGCCATCTAGTAACTGCAGAAGCTACACACAGAACAAAGATAATAAAATCATAAAGATCGGGAAAAATACAACCGAAAACCCACCTTATTGTAGTCCACATCGGCAAGGAGTGCCCCAAAGTAGGCCAGCGTCATGGACTGCTGTCGGTTGAGGTCATCGGTCTGCTTCTTGGCCTCCTGCACATAGCCGCTGGCTATGGTGGGGGCACCGTCCAGCATAATGACCTTGACGCCGAAGCGCCGCTGCTCCAAGGCCACGCCAATGGCATGCGCGAGGAGGCAGCCGTAAGAATACCCCACTATGTTGTAAGGGCCACGAGGTTGTAGTCGCTGGATCTGGCCCAGATAGTAGGCCGCGCAGGCCTCGATGGAGTCGAGGGGCACCTGTTCGGTGCACTGCAGGCCGTAGGCGGGGCAGGTGAGGGAGGAGGCCAGCGCCTCAACGGCAATCGTGAAGCCCTCGATGGGAGCGAGGAAGAAGACGGCCGGCTCCTCGCTGGCCACCGGCGCCTTCGAGTGCAGACGCACGAGCACCTCCTGGGGTAATACTTCCTTGGCGAATACCTTGCGAGTCTCATCGCTCTGTCCCTGTCCCTTTATCTGTCCCGCCTGCTCTGCAGGACTTGTGGCAGTCGAGCTGGAGCCCGAACTGGAGTTGGAGCCGGCTGCTGTGATGGGCTCTTGGGCATCGATCTGCTTGAGGGCGCTAAATGTCAGCTGGCGGATCTCCTGTGCCGTCAAAACCAGATCGAAATGTCGCTCCAGGGTCTGCTTGATCTCTGTGCTCATCAGCGAGTCCATTCCCAGGTCGAACAGTGTCGTCTTGTCCTGCACGCTCTTCACATCCCGCAAGCCCATGATGTTGGCTATCGTGGCGATCAGACTGAGGCGATTTGTCTGCTCCATCTTACGCTTCTCGGCCAGCACCATGGAAGCCAGCACGGGATGTGGCTGCTGCAGGAACAAATCCATCGTCTCCAGGCAGCTGTTCATGCGCTGCGGCAGAGTGCCTCCGACGACGGTGTCGTTGTTGCCCATGTGCTCCATGATCAAGCCTGTGTCCCCGATGGCGCCCCACTGAATGGCCGTGCCAGGGTAACCATCGCTCTGGCGCTGTTCGCAAATCCGCTCCATGGAGGAGTTGGCCAGGCCGTAGTTGGTCTGTCCAAGATTTCCCCGTCCGCAGGCCAAACTGGAGAAGCAAATAAAGTACTCCAGGGCCGGACACATACCCCGGGAGAGTCTGTCCAGGTGCTGGGTGGCCAGCAGCTTGGGCGCCGTCACCTGCTCAAAGTTTTTCGAGGTTTGGTCCTCGAAGAGTCCGTCCCTAAGTACCGCAGCCAGGTTGAAGATGCCTCCAACCAGAGCCAACTTGTCGCTGCTCTCCAGCAGCCTCTGGCATCCCACGGCAGTCGTCACATCGTTGGTATCGATCATCACCTGGACGCCGCGGTCATGCCAGCGACGGATCATCAACGCCTGATAGCCAGTCTTCACCCCCGAACGGGAGCTCAAGACGAGGAAACGAGCACCGCGTGAAACCAGCCAGTTGGCCAGTTCCAGGCCGAATCCTCCGAGACCTCCCACCAGGATGTAGCTCTTCTCCGGGTGCATGTAGGAGCGGGCAATGGCATTGATCTGACGCAGTTTGGGCAGGGCGGATTTCTGCTCCTCCTCGTGACGCACCTGGATGACTACCTTGCCGATGTGCTTGCCGGAGGCCATGAAGCGGAACGCCTTCTCGATCTCCTTGTCCGCAAACATAGTGGTGTTCAGCGGGAGGACAGCCCCGCTCTTGATACCCTCGGTTACCAGCCTGGCCACCAGTCTCTGCATCTCATCCTCGCCCTCCATCACGCTGTCCAGAAGGATACCGTGGAAGGAGGTGTTCTTGAGGAACACCGACATGCCCATCGGGGTATTGTTGCTTAGATCAAATTTGCCAATCTCCAGGAAGCGTCCATTGAGTGCCAGACAGCGAATGGAGGCTTGTAGCTTCTCCTCGGAGAGGGAGTTGAGTACCAGCTCCACGCCCTCGCCATGGGTCGCTGTCATTACAAGCTGCTCGAAGGAGGTGTCACGGGAGTTGCCAATGTGCCGCTCCTGCAACTTGGGGAATCGCTTCAGCAGGAACTCTCGCTTTTCCTTGCTGCCGACGGTCGTGAAGACCGTCAGACCATGAGCCAGGGCCACCGAGATAGCTGCCTGGCCCACTCCTCCGGATCCTGCATGGATGAGAATGCGCTCGCCCTTCTTCATCTGTCCGCGCACCACCAGAGCGTAATAGACGGTGGCATACACAACTGGCACGGTGGCAGCCTGTTCCATGGACCAGTTGTGGGGTATTTCCCACAGAAGGTTCCTATTCGCGAGGCAGTTGGTGGCCAGCGACTTGGCCGTGACCATAGCCATGATGCGGCGTCCTTGGGAGTCGCGTCCGGCAAACTCCAGGCCCAGCACACAGTCCTGGAAGGCCAGATCCCCGGGCAGTGCATCCACGCCCAGTTTGCCGGAGGCCAGCATCACGTCCCGGAAGTTGAGGGGCGCGTAGTAGACAGTGCATGGCTCGAATCCTGTCTGGACGGGCAGCTGGCAGGTGCGCGGACTCTCGATCCAACGCAGCGAGGAGAGATCACCCTTGACCAGTGTGTTTACGTACGCCTGCTCCACGGGCAGCAGGGGCTGCTGGGAGTCGATCTTCAGGTGACGGAAGGTGCCCCAGCTGCCTTTCCTGTAGACATTGATAGCCAGATCCTTGGCCAGCTGCTCGGCGTAGAAGGGCGTGTCAAGCGAGAACCGGGGCAGACCCTCGTCCAGCATAAGGTAGAGGCGGGCCCAGTTGCCGCCCTGCTCTCGTTTGAGGCAGTTCATCAGACCTAGTGCCCCAGAGCTAGGTTCCCCTTGGGCCACCAGATAGAGGCACTTCTGTTCGGCCTGGGCTTTGGCCAGGGCATTCTTGAGATCCGATATCCACTTGAAGTGTGTGTTGGTTACGGAAACCACGAGCGATCGCCTGGACTCGTGGGATGGGCTCTTTCTGGCGAGGATCAGCACACGATCAGTGCCAAAGAAATGTTCCAAAACTGGCAACAGTTGGAGCTTGGTAAGCTTATCTTTTCCTGTCAGATTGTACCCACTGGCGGTCTCCTCCAGGAGCAAGAAGCCACCCTCTGCCTTGAGCGATTCCACGCAGTTTTGCATCTCCTTCAATGAGTGCTTTGTCAGCAGATCGAAAGCATGGACAAAGTGACATTGCTGCTCCACGGCACCCGCTGACAGATCCTTGACTATTACCTTCACACCCACCTCCTTCAGCTGTGCCTGGAGCTCGGATTCCGTGGAGGATGTACTGGTGACAGACAGATCTGCCACGAGGATGGGCTCCCGTTCAATCAGCTCCAACAGCTCCAGGGCATGCAGTGGGTCCGGAGACAGTTCCACGCCCTTCAGTTTGATGGGACACCCACTGTTCTCGACAATCAGCTGAATGGCCACTGCCAGGGCCGTGCTTCTAGAGCGCTGCTGCTCCTCGCGCTGGCTTAAATGCTGGACATTGGGCACGAAACGGTAGCGCTCCAGGGTGGGCGCCGATTGACCCCCGGAACGCCGCTGGGTCTGAGCGGTCTTCATTTTGTGGATCTCAACTCCGCCGCACTTGACCACAGAGATGTTGCGGTGCCAGTAGACGGGCAGCTTTTGCTGGTGCCGCTTCACCAGCTCCATGTGATGGAGCGGGTCAATGAGCACTCTCTCGATGCCCGTGGGCACATACAGCTCGCGGATGTCGTTGCTGAGGATGCGGAACTGCAGCATGGTGTCCATGAAGCTGATCCAGTTCTCCGCCCACTGCAGACGACCCGTCACCGCCGCAATGTCCGCCTCCAGGATGCCCTGAAAGACGCCACTGTAGTCGTATCCCCTGAGACGCAGCTCCTTGTAGATGTCATTCGTGGAGAGCTTCTGGGAACCCGCAGTTCCGGGCAGAGCGGGCAGTGTGAGCCGCTCCTGCTGTACGTTCGTGACCAGCCGGAGCTTGCCGGAGGCCACCAGGCTGCTGCCCTCACAGATCTCGAAGCTGCTGCTGCCCGGAAAATAGTTCAGGGCAAGCTTCACGGTTGTGCCCGCATTTAGGATGGTAGCCCGATGGAAGATAATATCCTCGAAAAGCACCGAAGTGCGCAGATAGTCCAGCCCCTGCTGCTGGGCCAGCATCATCCAGGCGAGCGTCATGTAGCCCGTGGCCGGGAACAGGATCCTTCCGTCGATGGTATGGCCCACAAGGAAGGCGTTCTCCTCCTTGGACAGGTCCAGTTCCACGCACAGCTGTCCCGACTGCCGGCCGCCCTTGAACTTCGGGTAGTTCCACTTCTGGGTGTGGTCCCAGCCCACCAAGGAGCCCAGCATTGGCGTACCCCGTGACACGGGGTAGCTGATCTCGGGTGAGATCTTCAGCAGCTGCGGCTGTCCGCCGGAGGCAAACAGACGCCCCACTTGGCTCAGGAGGAACTCGTAGTTGTTGGCATGGCCGCGCTGCATGAGACTCACGTAGCCGATCTGCGGACCCAAGGAGCGGAGGATGGCCCGGAAGAGGCCATGGGGGGCGATCTCCACGATGAGCGCATTCTGGGGTATGTGGCGGATGGCCTGCAGGAAGAGCACGGGCGAGATCAGGTTGTTGATGAAATACCCGGCAGAGGCCTCACGGCTTTCGGGTGTCTGCCAGTCCTGCTCCTTGACGCTTGTGCTCAGCCATCGTTGGCTGCGTGGCTTCGGCTCCGTGATGAGTCGCTCCAAGTTACGGCGGAGCATCGGGGCAGCACCCTCAATGTATGGACTGTGGAATGCATAGCCCCCGGAACCCACCTCCCGTACAAAGACTCCCTCCGCCTGCAGCTGTAGGATGGCCGCGTCCATGGAGGCCACGGGACCAGACACCGTGCAGTTGTCTTCGCTGTTGTGGCACACCGCATAGCAGTCCGCCGGCAGGTGTCCGCCAATCTCCTCCCAGCTCAGGCCCACGGCTGCCATCTTGCCACGCGGCAGGTCAGGCGTGTCCAGCACGCTCCGACCACGCCAGTAGGCCGCCAGCACCGTCTGCTCGGCCGTCAGGCAGCCATCCATGTAGGCGGCTCCCAGCTCTCCCGCCGAGTGCCCAATGATGCCGTCCGGCTGTATCCCCAGGGTCTTCAGGAGGTCAGTCAGTGCCACCTGGACAGCGGATACGGACACGAAGGAGTACAGCATGTTGTCAAAGGTGCGCTCTGTGGAGCGTGTCAGGACGTCTATCAGATCGAAGTCCACCCGAGCAAGCACCTGAATTTTAAGACAGGTAAGGATTTAAATGTTATCATAAGATTTCATGAATATAGCGAATGGGAATTGGATACACTCCACTGTGAAAGATCTAAGAAGATCGAAGATACCCCGTTACGGCTGTCGTTTAGGGATTTCTGTACTGGCTTAAAATTTGCTGAGTTTTTCGTTCTTGGGACCGACTTTTGCGCCATAGAACAACTTTTTTCTTGTGATGTAAAATCTTTCTTAAAAGATACTGGTATTCGCGTTGGTACATTCAACGAACTGTTACCAAGTGTTTCGCACTTTGTAATGCTATTGAACTTGAAAGATTAAAGAAAACGAAGAAGTTCAAGGTCGAAATGCCGACCGGATCTGAATTACTTTTCCAAGATCAGTTAAAGATCAGAAGGACCATATATGTATGGGTAATACTTAGGGCCATTTAAGAGTATTTTCAGTGCAGTGATCGATTGCTTTTCAGCATCAGATCGTTTATTCATAGAAAAAAATTCTCATGAATTCTCATGATCATCGGGGATTGCTTCTTTCACTCACCTCGGCGCAATGCTCTATAGATTTTCGGAACACGTCCATTTGCATGAGATCCTTGGCCATGCTGGCCCATTGGCTGCCCATGCCGGCGTAGACGAACCAAATGGGTCGGGACTCTTCTTCATGGGGGAGTATCTCCTCCTTGAGAGCACCGCTGGGGCCCAGGACGGCATAGCCACGGTAGGGATGTAGCGGAATGGGATGGGAGTGGATGTCATTGATGAGGGCAAGGAACTCGTCGTCGAGTCGCTTCTCGGCGGCCACCTGCAGCAGCTGCTGCACCGCTGGCTCCGTCCGACCCGAGCAGACCACCAGCTTGAGGCACTGCTCCTCCGCGGTGGACTTGGGGCTTGACCTGGGGGCCTTTGACTTGCCATGTGACCGGAGGATGACATGGGCATTGGCACCGCCAAAGCCGAAGGAGTTGAGGCCGACAATGCCGCCCTGCCAGGACATATTGCGGTCCACTACTTTGAGGCGACCCTCGACCAAAGCTGGCACGGCAGGATTGGGTGTACGGTAGTGGAGATTGCTGGGCAGGATGCCCTCCTCCATGGCAATGATCATCTTGGCCAGAGCGCTCACCCCCGAGGCAGGCTCCGCATGGCCCATATTCGACTTGACCGAGCCGATGAGCAGGGGAGTGGGTCGAGCGGGATGGCAGAAGAAATTGCTCAGCATATTGGCCTCCTGGTCATCGCCTACAGGGGTGCCACTGCCATGGGCCTCCACGTAGACCACGTCATCGGGATTAAGCCCGATCTCGCTGTATGTTTCCTCCAGCAGCGCCTGCTGCATTCGGCCGTCGGGGAAAGTGACACCCTGCTCCTTGAACCCATCCGTGTTCGTGCGCACATTCAAAATGGATGCGTAAACGCGCTTGGCCTGGGCCCGACGCTGGAGCAGGACCACAGCACAGGTGTCGGCCCGGGCATAGCCATTGGCGGCGGCATCGAAAGTCTTGCAGGCGCCATCCTGGCTGACGATGCCCAGGCGCAGGAACTGCAACGCAAAGATCGGCTTCAGAATGAGATTGACTCCCGCTACGAGGGCATAGTCGCAGCGGCCCGCTCGCATGTCCGCGTAGGCGTGCGATAGCGCCACCAGGGAACTGGAGCACGCGGTGTCCACGATGAAGCTAGGTCCCTTGAAGTCGAACGTGTAGGAGATGCGATTGGCGAACATGGCGCGGGCACAGCCCGTGAGGCAGTAGCCATTGATGGTGCTCGGCTCCATGTTGGGGATCTCGTGCTCCGTCTCCACGAAGGACAGACCAATGTAGACGCCGGTGCGGGTGCCACGTAGCTGGGCTGGATTTATGCCCGCATCGATGATCGCCTCGTGGGTCAGTTCCAGCAGCATGCGCATGCAGGGGTCCATCAGTTCGGCCTGCTTCTGGTGCACGCTGAAGAAATTCTCATCGAACTTCTCCAGATCCTCGTCCTTCATCTTGGCCATACGCTCCGGCAGTCCATAGATGCCTATTGATGATCGATGATCGATGATCGATGGTTTGATCAGGATCTGATTCTGCAAAATTCCTCTAGGATGTTGGTCACTCACCTGCCTCCCACCTCCTGGGATCGTCTGTGACCATGTCGATGCCGTTGAGCAGATTGTACTTGAACTCCTCGATGTTGCTGCTCTCCGGCAGTTTGCCCGAGAGCCCCGAGATCACGACGTCCGTGCCATCCCCACCTGCTGCGGTCTCCGCCTCCGCTTTCTTCTTGTTGGGCATCTTCTGTGGCTTCTCGATCCTTGGCTGCTAGTCAGGCTCGGCAGCAGTTCAGTCTGTCTATAGATCAAATTTATTGGAGAGGTATTCTAATGTTTGGTCTGTAAAAACTAACTCTAGCTAACTGCTAAGAAACAGAAAACATATCACAAACATTATTTTAATGAATGTTTCCATTCTAAAAATGATATAATATTTTGTTAATTAATTAATATTATTTGTATTCAAACTCCTGCAAAGTTCTAGACAACGAATCGGAAACCTTTTCAGACGGAAGATCCAAAAGCTATAGTTTAAAAGCCACTACAATTTTGATTTCAATATTTCTGGTATTTGATAACGATTCGGTATTAGGTTTGTTTAGAAGAATGGTATTTTAATTGAAGTAATAATATAAATTTAACTTCAAATCTGGAAATAACATGTCCCCTGTTCCAGACATTACAAAACATTCTATAAAGTAAGTGTGCCAGAAGAAATCGGCAATAAGATCAGCATGAGATCAACAAAGTCAGAAGTTCAAGCACCTAAATGAAATAAAATGTGTAGAAAAAACACTCCTGGAATGTAATATATTCATTGTATAAGTTTTTGCAATAGATGACTGGCCAAATCAAAGCGAATAAAAGTGCTGTAGAGCAATCTTTGTAGATCTAATGTCAATTGAAAAGTGATAACCAAAAAAAATACAAATTGACAAAATTTAACCTTCACTTTCGAAAAAAACAAATAGAAATCTTAAAAGCTCCATTGAAAAAGAGATTCCTTGGATTCTTCCTGAACATATATTGACAATCTCTCAGCAAATATCGGCAGTGATTCATTTCATTAAAAGCCTATTCCGATACAAGTATGTTAAACTTATGTGGTTCGAAGTTCGATCAGGCCTTGTAATTATAATAGACTCCCCTTTCTTAACCTATGCGATCTTTCACTGTGAACACAAACATTTTTTTTAATAGTATCTACACTGAATCCACTCGGACATAAAGAAGATGATATACCTATGAGTGAAATGGAGAAATCTATAAGCCGAAGTAAAGGGGGGATATCGGAAAGGAAACATCCAACAATGTACGATTTGTAAAGCAAATCTTGAGCATTTGAATATTCATTTCCTTTGCAAATGATGCTCTGCTCTGTTTTGATAAGGTTTACCAATCGCCAATGCCCAGTCGGCAATTAATGACACTTGGGCACTTGGCTGGTCGCAATTAATTCTGAAATGTACGACGCCTTAGGATCGATTTGAATATTGTCGTTCTGCGTGGCTGATAAGGAACTGTTGCAGCCGCAGCAGTCACCTTTACTTTATCGGAACTACGAGTATACTCGTATGCATTGATCGTATGATTCGCTGATTCGGCGTATTCCACCATAGATGGAGGGGGACTCCACTCCGTGTTGCCATGTTGTCCGCTGGCTACTGGGAACTGGCTGCTCAGATAGTCGAAATTCGTCCAGCGTTTGGCCGCGTGCCATGCACTAAAGATAGGGGAGGTGGAAGCGGACCGAATCGCCTCGATAAGCTCAGATACGATCTCAACTCTGATCGAATTTTTCCTATACGTATACTTGCAAGTGCTATGCCGATGAGGCGCGACGCGTGCCAGACTTTTGGTGAAACATTATGATTCCAATGATTCCCAAAAGTACTTTATTCGATTATTTCAAAGTTTAATTAAAAACAACGGTCGCTGGAATATATTATATTATCATTACCGTTGTCATTTGGGGCTTCTTATGTCTAATTCTAGTGTTTCCTCGCTTTTAATCAAATTTAATTTGCAAATCTTTCGAACTGTGTTCTAAAATGATACGAGATAATACGAGCTAAGAGCTCATTATTAGTCTTTAAATAAGGACTCCAAACTCCTTTAACCTTTTTGGTTTTTTGTATGAAGGACTAAGATTAATGCAAATAAGTAAATACCTAGAGAAATTCTTTACATCGACGCCTTTAAATTTTCATGAAAACAATTCAAAAACCGAAATTTTTCTGTGCTCATTTTTTAATTTGTAAGCCAACAATTAGGTTTCTTCAAAAGAATTCTATCAAAACTCAATTAAGCATCGGTTCTTAGTATTTATTGTCATTATTTCCTTAAGCTTGAGATTGATTAAGAGACCTGACAAATTCCCAACACCATTCATTTCTGCAAAGTCCTTAATACTGATCATATATGTTCAGAATTCTCCGCTTATCGGAGGGTTATCTGTATTTTTAGACACATCTGTTTCTCGAAGAATATATTCGATATTTCAAGAACTTTTTCAGTGGAAACACTCAGTGAAGGGGAACGATGACAAAAAAATTAGGTCGACTGTCTGAACACGCCACTTTCCATTGTCTTTGCACTTGACTCACATTTCTTATATCACTTTAGTGGAACGATCGGATCGAATTGGCGAATAGACTTCAGCACTGCACTGTCACTGTCCAATATGAAGCGCTCCTTAGATATAACTCTTTTATCACTTTCGGTGCACTTGCTATCGCGTATCCTTTGTGAGCTCAGTTGTGTGGACAAAGGATCAACGGCAGGATGTATATCGTGTGGCGTGGATGGTTGGGTGTATATCCTTTTGGTGTGCACGTATAGCTCCGACTTGGTCCGCAGACAGACTGAAACTAGGGCTGCAGTTGCTGTATTCTTTATATGCATTCGGTTCGCGGGGAGGACGGCGGCCGGGTGGCCATCAAAAGGCGCATATGTAATTACCCATATCCATACCAAATACTAAGCATACCCGATTTCATAATGACTGCGCCAGAATCGCCACCGCCAATCGCCAGCCAGCCCCCTGAATAATTCATTTTCATGCTAAAATTTTGTTCCCTCTGCCGCTGTCGCTGCCTCTAACTCCAACCAAATCAAATATAAATTGCGACGCTGACCAGGACAGGTGTATCCGTGAGTGAGTGAGTGAGTGCCCGTGCCCGTGCCCATGCCCTGGTAATTAGTCCAAGTGTGTGAGCTATAGCAGTTGACATCGCCTAGTTAACCCATTTGTCGCTTGCCTTTGGCGGCTCCCCGGGGCCTGGGTTTGGCTTTTGACGCCTTCGCCCGGGCTTTGGCTTTGGCTTGGCACGCCCTCGCCAGTAGCTTGGCTTTGGTCGCCTTTGCGCGGGGTTTGGCTTTGGTCGCTTTCGCCCGGGGCTTAGATTTGGCCAGCTGTAACGATCGAAAAATGTTAGTGTTAGTCAACCTGCTTGCAAGTGCATATGTCACCGTCACTTGTATGTTCTTGTAGAGAGTAGATGTTGGGGTCTTCTTGTCCACGGGGTTGCTCCTGCGCAATTTGAACGGAAGAAAAGGTAGCTTCTCTTCCGTCACCGAGAAGATGCCCAGATTTACGCCCAAGTCTATTGCAAAGTGCACGGCTTTCTCAGTGCTCCCGAATGCAGCGATGTGCTTGGCCAACAATACGTTTTTGAGGGCTTTGCACATTTGATCCACATCGGCGCCTACGAATACGAGATATTCCCACTTCCAAATTTAGTACATAAATATATCGTTATATTCATTTACTTACTGAGGCTTGGCTGGCGGCTCAAGAAATCAAGTATTTGGGGCAGCACCGATTTAGCCTCCATTATTATTCGTATCTATAAATACACGACAAATTTGAATATTGTTGTAATGTTGTAATTGTTAAATGTTTAACGTCTGATTTGTATATATGGTATATAGAGAAAATATCTGTATGATATCACAAAGGCCTCTGTGTTCCAGATTATTTCCAAATAAAAATAAACTCGCCTCCTCGACTGATGGATGTACGGCAATGTCTGAGTTTATTTGTTTAATTTCCATTCCCTCCACTTCTGTATGTACTTAAAATACCAAATTAAATCAAATTAATTGTAGACTCTGTATTGTATATAAATCACAGGCAATCCGAGTACGAGTACGAGTGTATGAATTATGTACGAGACCCAATTCCAATTAATCAAATCCGAATAATTTGCCAAAAGAAAAGTTTGATCAAACCTCAAGCTGATATTAGTTTTATTTAAGAATGGATTGCATCAGCACTGCACATAGTACATATGTACAATATATGCATATATGTAAATATGCAGCTTGCTACGGTTATTCAGCATAATACAAATAATACCCAAAGACTTCGTAGTGCTACCCAAACAAAAGACCATTTCATTGCGTCATATAAGAGCAAGTGTTGACGTGGAAAAAAACCAAACTAATCATAATTGTAAACACATTTGGAAAAGTTCTACATATATATTCATAAATCTCTTTAAAAAAGCACCATTTTTGTTAAGTTTAAAAAAAATCACTTATTTCAAAAGTATAAATATTTATGCATTGGAGTGCAGCGCTCTACCAGCAATCTCATATATGAACAGTCCATACCCATGAGAAAGGTGTACTTCTTGATGTAATCTAGTACTCTATCTTTATGCAAAAATACAGACATTTTCATCATTAATAAAGTACAAATTCTGATTTTGTACCAATAATTTGATAAGGTTTCCAGAAACCAAGTAACAATTGTAACAAACAATGTATGGTATAAAAGCAAAAATCAAATATTTGCCATTAAAGTCTCGTCATTCGTTTTTGATTGAGAGCACAACTGCAGTAGCGAAGTCTCTCATACATATAAAAAAATATATATTGCTAAGCGGAAAGATTAACTCTTATCTAAAGCGGGTTTCTAGAGCAAACCATCAACAGGCCATTCAGTTTTCCCAATCGTTTCAACGGCCACGGGCCCGGTAACAAATTGAGAGATCAACTACTATTAATAAAACCAAAACAAACCAAAACAAAGACGCGTGCACATTTCGCTTTCTTTGCCGGCCGTCGGCTTCGAAGGATGATTGCGGGACCATGATACGGTTTATTTTGTTGGTTTTTGTTTGGAAAGCCTCGACCTTGGCGATAGCGACATACGGGAACAGCTCACATTTGCGATGCTCTGGAACGTTGCTAACACATGAGAGCGATGTGATTAGCCCGGGCATGCCGCGTGCTTTGCCATCACCCCGACTCTCTGCCTTATAATGATTAGCTGATAATGATATTTTGGGGTATTGGCCATTGGAACAGGTAGCCCGCTAAGCAGACGTCGCGGAAATTTACACAGAACAGAGTCGTGTGTCGTGCGTCGTACAAGAATAGGTATATTATGGACTCACACTCATGTGCGTATTATCAGCTAGTGGCATAGCTCTCGGAAGTATGTTCTCCAGAGGTGATTCGCTGATAGTTGGATGTGCCAAGGGGTGAATATAGTAGCGACCAATTGCCCTTCAGGCGGAACGATGAAGATCCGCAGACGATAACAGCCACTGTCAGAGGCTGTAAGGCTTTTCACGGTGAATTAAAGGTGATCCTTGTCGGGTGCCTATCGTTTAGATCTGCTATTACTTTATATAATATGTATAATGATATGCGTCAGTGGTTCGTTCGGCTCAGAAATACAGTCGTTGAACCGCGGGCAAGCGGCTGTGATGCACTTTGTTATAGGTATAGGTGTTTGAATACATCTGCGTCACCAGCGACTGGTCTGGTCAAAGTTTCACAGTTTGTCCGGCAAAATGTTTTAATTAACTAACAGAAAATGTTTAATGAAACAGCAATAACAATCAGTCGCATGATGACCCTCCTCAAAGCTTCACCACAATCTTGCCCCGCAAATGTCCGCACTTCATGCGCTCAAAGGCCTTTAGCATTTCCTCGAAGCTGAAAGTGCTGTCAATCAATGGGATCAACTGGAAGCATACCAAAGGATATTATTAGTCTTCTAAATAGTCTTTCCTGGAGGCAGCCACTCACCTTTCGCTGACGCACCAGTTGCTCCAAGAATGCAATCCCGTGCGGAGCAGGATTGAAGAAGCCCCACTTCACCATTCCTCCTCGCTGCGTGAGGGATTTCACATTGGTCTGCACCAGGTCGACCATATTCTTGATCGCACCCAGTCCTAGGCCCTGCTGGTCAATGTTGGCTAGCAGTGGCGACGAGAAGGTAATGTACTGCCGGAAATCAAATTTCAATTCCGATGCATGCGCCCCTCCATGTCCGGCACAGTCCAAAACAATATCGTAGGGTGCAAACTTGCACAGCTCGTCCATGGCATCGCTGCTCTTGTAGTCTACGACGAAATCGGCGCCCAGACAGCGGACCATTTCCACGGCGTTCTCACTGCAGGTGGCGAGCACTTGAGCGCCTTGCGACTTAAGTATCTGTATGGCCAAAGTGCCAACACCGCCGGAGCCGCCCAAGACTAGTATGCGCTTATGTGCACCACCGCCAGCAGCTGTGGTGGCACCACACGGGCCACCCAAGCCGCCAGAAATGTAGAGTCCCGACCAGGCTGTCAATCCCGCATACAACACGCTGGCTGCCTCACTGTCGTCTAGCTGTTTGGGTGCTGGAGCCAACTAAAAACGAAAATGAAGATGGATCTTAAATTAATTTTTCATTTAAATATTTTTACCACTTACACAGTATGACGGGACAGCCACATACTCCGCATGAGCACCAGGACTGGCATGCACAGGCACAACTCCCCAGACACGCGCTCCCAGTTTGAGTGAATGGGATGTCACGCCCATTCCCTTCTGCACCAGCTCTCCACAGAATTCGCGGCCCAGTGTGAGCGGAAACTCAATGTCATCTCCCGGCTGGCAGCGTAGTTTGTTTAGAACTGTAGCTCCATAGCCTCGGAGCATGGCCAGATCGATGGGATTCACCGCCGTTGTCCGTACTCGCACCAGGCATTCATTGGAGCTCCGTATTTGTGGGATCTTCAGTTTGTCGGAAAGCAGCAGCTCGTCAATATCGCCGTAGCTGTGCAGTTGCCATCCACGCATCTTCTCGAGGGATTTCGTGGGCGTCGTCGGCGGCAAATGTTCCCCCGTTGTGTTGTTACCGGCGGAAGTTACGTTTGCGCTGACGGAGTAGGTTCGTCTGGCATGCAGCACGCATTGCCGCATCCAGATGACGCCATTATATCTAGTAGACTGCATATTGCCAGGAATTCAGCTAACAAGAAGAAAATATAAGTTTCAAAATAAAAATCCAGCGATTTGTTATTATTTATTACAGAAATAGTGTGACCGCTCCTCATGAAAAAAATTTGAAAAACAGCTGTTGATATACGTTTCGATGCGAATAGCATGGCATGAGCAATCGATACTGCGACCAATCGGCCGTTAAATTCAAGCGTGACTATCGGAGTTGGAATCTTTTAATAATCTTCTGATGCGAACCCTTCAGGAAATATTTGGTAATTACTAGCACTCATGGCACCAAACATGTCACAAACGCACATTCTGGAACTCCCAGAGTCGGTCAGCCCATAAATGGTCGAGATATGGCCTTTCGAAGATTTTGATTTTGCATTTCAATAGAATACGGGTTCGGCATGTCTTTTCGTGATCGGGAGAGTCCTGCCAATCGACTGCCATCGGAAAAAGGGACTTCCACTTCCTCACGATTTTCGCAAAAAATCATGATGGTTACATCATTAAATTTGCAAAAAATCGGCCCCATATTCATAGTCGAGATTTTGATGCCGTTCGATAGTCTGGATCCTCACGATCCTGGGAGAGTTGGTCCTGCAGCGATCTGGCCCTATTTGTCTGAGATATAGCCTTCCGAATAGTTGGATTTTGCATTTTATTAGAATACTGGTTTTTCCGTAGGCTATATTTCAGCTATCCGGCATCCGATCGGAGCGCGGCATGTCTTTTCGTGATCGGGAGAGTCCTGCCAATCGACTGCCATCGGAAAAAGGGACTTCCATTTCCTCACGATTTTCGCAAAAAATCATGATGGTTACATCATTAAAATTGCAAAAAATCGGCCTCATTTTCACAGTCGAGATTTTAATGCAGTTCGACAGTCTGGATTCTCACGATCCTGGGAGAGTTGGTCCTGCAGCGATGTGGCTCTATTTGTCTGAAATATAGCCTTCTGAAGATTTGGATTCGTTAGAATACTGGGTTTTCTGCACGCTATATCTCTGCTATCCGGCATCCGATCGGAGTGCGGCATGTCTTTTCGTGATGGGGAGAGTCCTGCCAATCGACTGTCATCGGAAAAGGGGACTTCCATTTCCTCACGATTTTCGCAAAAAATCATGATGGTTACATCATTAAAATTGCAAAAAATCGGCCTCATTTTCACAGTCGAGATTTTAATGCAGTTCGACAGTCTGGATTCCCACGATCCTGGGAGACTTGGTCCTGCACCGATCTGCCCTCATTTGTCTGAAATATAGCCTTCTGAAGATTGGGATTCGTTAGAATACTGGGTTTTTTGCACGCTATATCTCTGCTATCCGGCATCCGATCGGAGTGCGGCATGTCTTTTCGTGATGGGGAGAGTCCTGCCAATCGACTGTCATCGGAAAAGGGGACTTCCATTTCCTCACGATTTTCGCAAAAAATCATGATGGTTACATCATTAAAATTGCAAAAAATCGGCCTCATTTTCACAGTCGAGATTTTAATGCAGTTCGATAGTCTGGATTCCCACGATCCTGGGAGACTTGGTCCTGCACCGATCTGCCCTCATTTGTCTAAAATATAGCCTTCTGAAGATTGGGATTCGTTAGAATACTGGGTTTTCTGCACGCTATATCTCTGCTATCCGGCATCCGATCGGAGTGCGGCATGTCTTTTCGTGATGGGGAGAGTCCTGCCAATCGACTGTCATCGGAAAAGGGGACTTCCATTTCCTCACGATTTTCGCAAAAAATCATCATTAAAATTAAATTTTCGCAAAAAATCATGATGGTTACATCATTAAAATTGCAAAAAATCGGCCTCATTTTCACAGTCGAGATTTTAATGCAGTTCGACAGTCTGGATTCTCACGATCCTGGGAGAGTTGGTCCTGCAGCGATGTGGCTCTATTTGTCTGAAATATAGCCTTCTGAAGATTTGGATTCGTTAGAATACTGGGTTTTCTGCACGCTATATCTCTGCTATCCGGCATCCGATCGGAGTGCGGCATGTCTTTTCGTGATGGGGAGAGTCCTGCCAATCGACTGTCATCGGAAAAGGGGACTTCCATTTCCTCACGATTTTCGCAAAAAATCATCATTAAAATTAAATTTTCGCAAAAAATCATGATGGTTACATCATTAAAATTGCAAAAAATCGGCCTCATTTTCACAGTCGAGATTTTAATGCAGTTCGACAGTCTGGATTCTCACGATCCTGGGAGAGTTGGTCCTGCAGCGATGTGGCTCTATTTGTCTGAAATATAGCCTTCTGAAGATTTGGATTCGTTAGAATACTGGGTTTTCTGCACGCTATATCTCTGCTATCCGGCATCCGATCGGAGTGCGGCATGTCTTTTCGTGATGGGGAGAGTCCTGCCAATCGACTGTCATCGGAAAAGGGGACTTCAATTTCCTCACGATTTTCGCAAAAAATCATGATGGTTACATCATTAAATTTTACAAAAATCGGCCTCATTTTCAAAGATGATTTTGATGCAGTTCGACAGTCTGGATTCTCACGATCCTAGGAGAGTTGGTCCTGCAGCGATGTGGCCCTATTTGTCTGAAATATAGCCTTCTGAAGATTTGGATTCGTTAGAATACTGGGTTTTCTGCACGCTATATCTCTGCTATCCGGCATCCGATCGGAGCGCGGCATGTCTTTTCGTGATCGGGAGAGTCCTGCCAATCGACTGCCATCGGAAAAAGGGACTTCCATTTCCTCACGATTTTCGCAAAAAATCATGATGGTTACATCATTAAAATTGCAAAAAATCGGCCTCATTTTCACAGTCGAGATTTTAATGCAGTTCGACAGTCTGGATTCTCACGATCCTGGGAGAGTTGGTCCTGCAGCGATGTGGCTCTATTTGTCTGAAATATAGCCTTCTGAAGATTTGGATTCGTTAGAATACTGGGTTTTCTGCACGCTATATCTCTGCTATCCGGCATCCGATCGGAGTGCGGCATGTCTTTTCGTGATGGGGAGAGTCCTGCCAATCGACTGTCATCGGAAAAGGGGACTTCCATTTCCTCACGATTTTCGCAAAAAATCATGATGGTTACATCATTAAAATTGCAAAAAATCGGCCTCATTTTCACAGTCGAGATTTTAATGCAGTTCGACAGTCTGGATTCCCACGATCCTGGGAGACTTGGTCCTGCACCGATCTGCCCTCATTTGTCTGAAATATAGCCTTCTGAAGATTGGGATTCGTTAGAATACTGGGTTTTTTGCACGCTATATCTCTGCTATCCGGCATCCGATCGGAGTGCGGCATGTCTTTTCGAGATGGGGAGAGTCCTGCCAATCGACTGTCATCGGAAAAGGGGACTTCCATTTCCTCACGATTTTCGCAAAAAATCATGATGGTTACATCATTAAAATTGCAAAAAATCGGCCTCATTTTCACAATCGAGATTTTAATGCAGTTCGATAGTCTGGATTCCCACGATCCTGGGAGACTTGGTCCTGCACCGATCTGCCCTCATTTGTCTAAAATATAGCCTTCTGAAGATTGGGATTCGTTAGAATACTGGGTTTTCTGCACGCTATATCTCTGCTATCCGGCATCCGATCGGAGTGCGGCATGTCTTTTCGTGATCGGGAGAGTCCTGCCAATCGACTGCCATCGGAAAAAGGGACTTCCATTTCCTCACGATTTTCGCAAAAAATCATGATGGTTACATCATTAAAATTGCAAAAAATCGGCCTCATTTTCACAGTCGAGATTTTAATGCAGTTCGACAGTCTGGATTCCCACGATCCTGGGAGACTTGGTCCTGCACCGATCTGCCCTCATTTGTCTGAAATATAGCCTTCTGAAGATTGGGATTCGTTAGAATACTGGGTTTTCTGCACGCTATATCTCTGCTATCCGGCATCCGATCGGAGTGCGGCATGTCTTTTCGTGATGGGGAGAGTCCTGCCAATCGACTGTCATCGGAAAAGGGGACTTCCATTTCCTCACGATTTTCGCAAAAAATCATGATGGTTACATCATTAAAATTGCAAAAAATCGGCCTCATTTTCACAATCGAGATTTTAATGCAGTTCGATAGTCTGGATTCCCACGATCCTGGGAGACTTGGTCCTGCACCGATCTGCCCTCATTTGTCTAAAATATAGCCTTCTGAAGATTGGGATTCGTTAGAATACTGGGTTTTCTGCACGCTATATCTCTGCTATCCGGCATCCGATCGGAGCGCGGCATGTCTTTTCGTGATCGGGAGAGTCCTGCCAATCGACTGCCATCGGAAAAAGGGACTTCCATTTCCTCACGATTTTCGCAAAAAATCATGATGGTTACATCATTAAAATTGCAAAAAATCGGCCTCATTTTCACAGTCGAGATTTTAATGCAGTTCGACAGTCTGGATTCTCACGATCCTGGGAGAGTTGGTCCTGCAGCGATGTGGCTCTATTTGTCTGAAATATAGCCTTCTGAAGATTTGGATTCGTTAGAATACTGGGTTTTCTGCACGCTATATCTCTGCTATCCGGCATCCGATCGGAGCGCGGCATGTCTTTTCGTGATCGGGAGAGTCCTGCCAATCGACTGCCATCGGAAAAAGGGACTTCCATTTCCTCACGATTTTCGCAAAAAATCATGATGGTTACATCATTAAATTTTACAAAAATCGGCCTCATTTTCAAAGATGATTTTGATGCAGTTCGACAGTCTGGATTCTCACGATCCTAGGAGAGTTGGTCCTGCAGCGATGTGGCCCTATTTGTCTGAAATATAGCCTTCTGAAGATTTGGATTCGTTAGAATACTGGGTTTTCTGCACGCTATATCTCTGCTATCCGGCATCCGATCGGAGTGCGGCATGTCTTTTCGTGATCGGGAGAGTCCTGCCAATCGACTGTCATCGGAAAAGGGGACTTCCATTTCCTCACGATTTTCGCAAAAAATCATGATGGTTACATCATTAAAATTGCAAAAAATCGGCCTCATTTTCACAGTCGAGATTTTAATGCAGTTCGACAGTCTGGATTCTCACGATCCTGGGAGAGTTGGTCCTGCAGCGATGTGGCTCTATTTGTCTGAAATATA